GTTTATAAAAATTCTATTGGTTTGAAATTACCTAAAGTTGAAGTTTCTGATAGTTTGATTTTCTTTTAGATTTTGAATTTTCCAAATGTTTTATTTTTTAAAAGTTTGAACATTTTTTCAGAAGTTCCAAGAATAGCATAAAAGTAGAAGAGTACCAATCCATGAATTTTTTTATCAAAAAAGTAGAATAAATGGGGGAGGGCATGTCTAAAAATTGGAAGTGGGGATAGTCCAAAAGTGAACACTAGCATGATCCCTAGCGCGGGAGACCTCTAAATAGTCGTGCCCTTTTATGAAATATGTCAGCTAATCAGCTATGTAGAACCAAAAAATGTTTTGTGGTGCCAAAATATTTATGTTCTAACTAATAAATTTTCCTCATTGTATAACTGGTGCTATATTTCACAATGATATCCTTAATGCAGGAGAAATGCTAGTTGGTCTAGCGAAATGCTTCTTTATGGATGATATTTCAACTGGTCTTGATAGCTCCACGACGTATGAGATCATAAAAGTTATACAACAAATGGCTCATTTACTAGATCTCACAGTGGTTATTTCCTTGCTTCAACCTCCTCCTGAGACATTGGAATTATTTGATGACATAGTTCTTTTATGTGAGGGCCAAATTGTATACCTAGGTCCTCGAGAAAATGCTACCGATTTCTTTGAGATTATGGGATTCAAATGCCCTTACAGGAAGAATATAGCTGATTTCCTTCAAGAGGTACTATATCACTATTGTACGAAGGAACTATTGGATAAACAATAGTGCTAACACTTTAGTTATCCTTACCAAATTACTTTTTGGAATAACTTATGGGAAACTAGAACTTTAAAGTCGTGAAAATTCAACCCAGGGAATTTAATTTTGTAATGTGTACTTGCTCACAATAACATAGTAGCGAACTAACAATAGTTGTTTTTCCATTTTCCCAGGTGACCTCTAAGATGGACCAAAAGCAATATTGGATTGGTGACCAACATAGGTATCACTACCATTCAATTGAAAATTTTGCAGAATCCTTCCGTTCATCCTATCTACCTCGACTTGTACAAGACAAACTTTTAGTGCCAAATAGTAGTAGAGTAAAGAGTGCGGAGGTAAAAACTAGATTAGGTATGTCCAGATGGAATATCTTCAAGGCATGTTTTTCAAGGGAAGTACTACTTCTGAAAAGAAACTCCCCAATACATATATTCACAACCGTACAAATAACTATCCTTGCTTTGGTGATATCGACTATTTTCCTTCGGACAAATATGAACCACAAATCTGTACTTGATGCCAACAAGTATGTCGGAGCTCTCTTTATTGCTGTCATGCTAGTAAATTTCAATGGCATGATTGAAATTGCAATGACAATAAAGAGACTTCCCACTTTCTACAAACAAAGAGAGTTATTAGCATTGCCAGGATGGGCACTCCTTACTCCAAATTTCCTTCTTAGTATCCCAATATCACTTATGCAGACAGGTCTTTGGACTAGCTTAACCTATTATATGATTAGCTATGCACCTTCCTTTATCAGGTACCTCTCCTCTTGGTCAATTAAGTATATAATGGTCATGGTATTTTAAATAAATTTGATTGTGAGAAAACACTTGCCTTAATTACTTATTGCAGATTCATGAAGCACTTTTTGGTACTTTTTTCCATGCATCAAACATCAATGGGCATGTGTCGTTTGTTAGTAGCAATGGCAAGGACGCTAGTAATGGCCAACGTGCTAGCAACCACAACACTTATAGCAATCTTTATATTTGGAGGCATCGTCATTTCAAAAGGTTAGATCATATTTAGCTTAATATAATGCAATATATATTAAAAAAGAGACATAGCTCATGTTTTAGGACATGTGTGCAACTTAGACACTAAAAATTCTACAATGAAACAGATGATCTCAAACAATGGTTACAATGGGGATATTGGACATCACCATTCACCTATGCGCAAAATGCAATCTCCTTAAATGAGTTCCTTGGTGAACGATGGGCTACAGTAAGCAATCATTTTAATTAACATTTTTATAAGGTGCATGAAATATGTACTACAATTGCAACTTCATGATGATGTTCTTGTTTTCTATAGGAATTTCATTATGAAAATGCTAATACGATTGGTGAAGCTATCCTCAAGATCAGGGGTTTTCTCACGGAGTCGCACTGGTATTGGATTTGTGTCGGCATTTTATTTGGATTTGCGCTCGTCTTCAATGTACTCAGTATATTTGCCCTGGAGTTCTTGAACTGTACGTACATCAATATACTCAGTATATTTGCGCTCGTCTTCATACTAAGTATATTTGCACACGAGTTCCAAAACACCATAAGTGTTGAATCATAATTATAATTGGTATATATTATGTCTATTTACCATTTTGCTATTTGTAGCGCCACATAAACGTAATGTTCACACTGATGCCACGGACACAATGATGGAGTGTGAAAACAAAATAGTTGAAACTCAAGATGCATCAATTCTACAAGGCGTCCTTCCATTTCAGCCTCTTCCCTTTGCATTCAATGCTATCAATTATTCCGTCAATATGCCTAAGGTATGCTCGAGCACACAACACCTTACTAAATAGTAGCATCCATTCTGATCACATGTTCACCAAAATAATGCATATCTTACACCAAGAGATGATGAAGTATGGAGTAACAGAGAAAAAACTTCAGCTACTACAAGATGTTAGTGGTGCTTTCAGACCAGGAGTGCTAACAGCTCCGATGGGGATCACTGGTGCTGGAAAGACAACATTGCTCGATGTTTTGGCCGGAAGAAAAACCGGGGGGTATATCGAAGGTACTATAACGGTACGGTAGCAGGATACCCAAAGAGGCAAGAGACATTTTCAAGGATCTCGGGCTATTGTGAACAAAGTGACATTCACTCACCTAACCTCACTGTATATGAGTCACTTCAGTTTTCTGCAAGACTTCGCTTGTCTTCAAAAGTTACATCGCACCAAAGATATGTATGTGCAATTGTTAACATCATTCAAAGTTAATACACATACAGTATCTCACAATACATGTCTCTATTTTTTTAGATGTTTATACATGAAGTCATGCACCTAGTTGAGTTAACTAGATTAAAGAATGCAATGGTGGGTCTGGTAGGAGCAACTGGCCTATCAGCTGAGCAGCGAAAAAGGCTAAAATGGCCGTGGAGATGGTAGCTAGTCCTTCCATCATATTTATGGATGAGCCGACCACTGGCTTGGATGCCGGATCTGCAGCAATTGTCATGAGAGCAATAAGAAAGACAGTGGACACTGGATGAACTATTGTATGCACAATTCATCAGCCAAGCATTGAGATATTTGAATCATTTGATGAGGTAAGAGTAAGTCTCATTTTAAACAGGTCAATATTTTTAGGGAAAGTAGGTCGAAATTAGTCATATAAATACAAGCAAGAAAGAAAAATAATAGTCTTGTGGCATCAAGTCAAAGACTGGAAAAAGCAGCAAATTGTCAATACACATGATAATGATTCTTAACGATAATCAAGTGTCCATTTATATGATTTTTTAAACATACATGTATTTCTTATTACGCATCAGTACCACTAAGTTGCTTTCTACACATTAATTGAATTTGACTAATTGCAGCTTCTACTTATGAAAAGAGGTGGTCGGATAATATATAGTGGTTCACTAGGTCCAAATTCTTGCAACATGATAAAGTATTTCGAGGTAAGAGTGCCTAATTTTGAATGTATATTTACAAGATGGGAACAAAAGAAATTATATTCGTTGTCACAGGCTATACCAGGTGTTCCTAGAATAAAAGAGGGCCAAAACCCAGCAGCATGGATGTTGAATGTTAGTTCACACACAACAGAATACGAGATTGGACTGGACTACGCAGAAATTTATCAACGCTCCTCTCTATACAAGTAGGTGTGGTGTAATCATAATGCTATAACCCCTATAATGTAAAATGGATTTTATAATGAACAATAATATTGTTATTTTCTTGATTTTGTAGGGAGAACATAATTCTAGTTAATGAGCTTGGAAAACCAACACCAAACACAGAGGACCTACATTTTCCTCCAAGATACTGGCAAAACTTTTGGGCACAATGCATGGCTTGCTTGTGGAAACAAAGATGTGCATATTGGAAAAACCCAGAACACAATGTTGCTTGGTTCCTAAACACGTTTGTTCAATCAAATATGTTTGGAATTGTATTTTGGCAAACTGGATCAACGATGTAAGTAGGAATTACAACAGACCTAATGATTTTCTTTCATGAAAATTTATCATACCTCAACTATATCTTAACTTGGTTTTCCTGTGTGATATATAGTAAACAACAACAAGATATATTCAACATACTAGGACTCATATATGGAACATCACTATTTCTAGGCTTTAATAATTGTACTATGTTACAACCGGTTGTGGCTGTGGAGAGGGTTGTTCTCTATCGAGAAAAGGTGGCAGGCACATACTCCACCTTGGCCTATGCCATAGCTCAAGTAATGTTACTTTACCAACTTATTCTAAAGTGCAAAAATTATTCTAAACCTAGAAGGCCTAGCATATTTTCTCAACTCCAACATTGGATTTTTATTTGTAGGTGGCAATTGAATTGCCTTACATGCTTGTCCAAGTGTTCATGTTCGCGGTAATCATTTACCCAATGATTGGATTCCAAATGACGGCTGACAAACTCTTTGAGTTTATCCTTTACATGGTGTTAAGTTACATGTACTACACACTCTTCCGGATGATGACAGTAGCACTCGCACCAAACGTTGAGATAGCTTCTGGATTAGTCTACCTTATCTTCCTCTTTTGGAACATCTTCTCCGGCTTCATCGTTGGAAGATTGGTA